GCCCTACTAGCTTCCAGGGGACCTTATATCAAAGATTATTGGGCATATTTACACTATAAATTCCTACCTTTTATTTAATAACTACAAAATGATGTTAAAAAGTAAAACAAAGGGATCAACCACCAATTACATAATAGTTCATATGACAGACCTATATTTGAATTAAATACTATTAAACAAGGTTAACATTATAAAAGAAGGGTTAACAAATTGCAAATAATATTTCCCACGAGTTTTTTTACATGACCAACTAATCAATTAAGATTGCCACTTTGCCTCACCCATCCGATGCAAAGGCTGGGGGAGGGTTCTGGGTTAAAAACTTGTAGTTAAAGCTCACCATCATTGTGTTGCCATTGAACATACACATGGGCGGGGTCTTATCACCTAGTTTCTCTGTACTTCCTCACTGCTGAAATGGCACGTAAAGTGGGGTTGGGTTGAAACCTTATCACCCAAGTTCACAACCATCTTCTCATAGTCAATGAAGATTGCACAAATTTTTTTCTGTTTTTGCTGAGACTTTGCACTCGAGCTCATGAAATGTTAGTGCTCAAAAGGATCATTCACCTCACATCCAAACAAAAGGTTTCTTTAGGGGTATGGGATAAAAGTTCAGCACTCAATTTCACTACTATTTTCTTGTGCACTGAGCAAAAAAATTCACAGTTGTCTTTGTTCAAAGCTCAACGTTTGAACTTTTCATGGCTATCTCAAGTCTCAAACAGGAATTACAGCGGAAAAATGAACAAAAGTGGCGAGGTACGATTCAACTTTAGAATCGATCAATGTGTGGGCTAATAAGCTTTAACAGGCCGAAGTCATTGTTGCATGGGCCCTATTCATGCTTCTTGCTAAATAACAAGCCATGTCTATCCATTATTGTTTCCATTCAAGCCTGAGCACTAGCTTGAACTAGCCCAACCCGACTAGACACATAAAAACTTAGTAATTCACCTATGCATTGTTAAATCTTGATTAATGTGAGGGTATTTATTATACGATTTTGTCTTAAGACAATAAGAGAATATATCATGGCATGGTGATTGTTTGTATAATTATATTTGTTTTATTTCTACCTGCATAAGTACATAAATGTTAATATTAGGTCTATCTTATAATTATTATCAAATACTAATAACAATTTAATGTTTTGATGGCTACATGATTGGCAATCCACAGCACATAGCTTTCTTGTTTCTTCATACATGTTTGCTTGAGTCGGGATTTGAGATTCAAAAATTCAAAAATTTAATCATGGATAGATTCATTTGAAGTAATAAGTTGAAATAGGAGATTGAGAGCTCAATTGGATTACCTTGCTTGAAGCCTCGCGAAAGCTGGGGAATGATAATATATTTTATTATGATTAAGTTCTCTTGTAGTAAATTTGATATGAGACCTCCTATCAATTAGAAGTCATCACTCACACAACTTCCATCAAAATCAATTGGTTGTTAATTATCATATCTATTTATGTCTTCGCTAATGGGATGGTGAAAGGGACTAGCCACAATTGACGAGTAAAAAACTATTCTATTTATAGATAACATTAAAGCCATGCCTTTAGAGCTAGCAAGAGCAGGCTAATACACTCAGAACCTTGAGGAAAATTAATTGGTTTCAAATTCTTAGAGCAAATCTGAAGTAATAATAGATGAGTAGCAACCATTGTAAATACAAGGTCTGATTATTTGATTGAACTTCTTGCTTTTGAATGTTTGTTTTTCTCAATTTTGGATGAGCTTTAAAACACTCAAAGAACAGGTGTTACAAAATTTCGTAGAAAGAATAATAAGGGATGTATCGCCTTCAAAAACTAATTTCTACCAATAACCATGAGGCTTTGTGTCAATATAGATCTTATTTTTTAGTGGTGATTTAATACCAAGTTCAATAGAAAATTTTGCTGTAAAAGGCCTCAAAAGTCGAGTAATAGAAACATCCATTTATAAATGTTTACTGAATATAAAACTCAAAGAATATAAAGTAGATTAGTTGACGATATATAATTAAAGCTAAGAAAAAGCAACTTCGACAGGAGAAATTGGTAGTTCCACGGAGAATCAAGATGAGGAGTCCACTTAAGCATATGCATCATAAAATCTTTGACATGGTATGCATTTCTAAAGAAAAGTCATGTGTAGTCTGTCTTATTAGTCCTAAATAATTATTAGCATATGAGGAGTCCACTTTAGGACTAAAGAAACCTTTGACATCGCTAATGTGATGAGAGCCAATTAACCCAACAAAATAATTATCTATGAATTGTAGGTCTAACTTGAATTTATGAATGGCTTCTATGTTGGGTCCAAAAGTGCAAATATGCCCTCATATAAGAATAATAAAAAAAAAGGGTCAATTGGTAAGACCTAGAAGAATATATATAGCTTAGTTCTAACCATTTGATCAAAGAAGTTAAGATTCATGCTTTGATTATTTCATTGGTAATTGGCAAATGTGACAATGGTTCTTCTAACTTGACAATATTCTTCCGCGTCAAGGTTCATGCTCAACTATCCAACAAACTTAATAGAGCCCATCTTCATCAGTATTAATTTAGATTTGTATGTCTAATTCTAATTTTGAACAGCACTACTCTCTGGACCTAGGCTTCCCAATATATTCACTATCGCCATAAGCATGATGGACTGACCTATTTCTTAACTATGTTATGGCTTGATTCTCCAATCTTTTGTCAATTAGAGAGGGCTGCAGTTTGATCTAGGATGGATTTTGGAGGTGGCCAGGTGCATTCTTTCATCATTAAGGTACTACAATTCCCTTTACTCAAGTGCCTATAAAGCTCCATGGAGCAGAGCATCCATCTCCAATTTTCAGGAAGACGGTTCATATTTAGGCTTTTACTCCTTCATCCTAGTGGGTTGACTTTACTAAATTAGTTCTAATTTTTATTCGTCTTAAAGCTTAATCTCTGATTGGAGTGTTGAAGTATCTTCTGGGAACTAAGTACTCAGATTGGCCTGCTGAATTTTTTGTTTCTGTGAATTATGCGCAAGATTAATTATCGAGCTCACCCATCTCTAACCAAACTCTACAAACATTTAAGTCCATTTCAGAATGCAACAATGTTCAAGTAGATATGCTGCATAGAAGTGCTTCTTGTCTTTCGTTGTGACTGCATGTCTTACGAAGATGCTACAATATGTTTTTGATCATTTGAAGGAGGCATTCCGTGAGAATGGGTTTGGCGGAATGATTTGTTCTCTTTCATTGGCCATTCCCAAAACCTCGTATTATCATGAGCCTCATTGAATTTCTTTGTAGAGCAAGATTATCTTTTGGATATGATGTGTGGCATGTGAGAAGTGGTGTGGACACATTATTTGGCTTTTGCTAAAAAAAAAATAAAGTTGGTTAGATTTCTTGTCATGAAGAAGTATATTCATTCTCCTTACACATGATGACATGGACATCTCCCATGTCTGTCCAAGATGGACGCATGAAAAGCAGAATCGACCATCCGATTTTAGGCCGACTTTGTTTCCGTTGACCCATTCAGGTCTTCCAGCCCCCCAGGGCTGGGTTGATTCCCTTAGTGTTTAATCTGCCTGAATTAGGAGTAGTATTAGGGTTATTTTGCTAGCGAGTCTTGTTTTAGAATTTTATTTTTAACTTTTGCTTGGTTTTATGATAATTTGGAGATTGTTTCTCTGTTTTCTCTTAAGTCTGAGTGCTGTATCATTTTCTCTTCTAAAGTGGCGTGCCTTTAACTTTTTTGGAAATTGATGAATTCAAATTTGTCCTAGGAATGCCTAAGGGATAGAGCACGGAGACCGAGCGAGAGAAAAGGGGGGAGAGAGAGAGAAAGAGAAAGAAAGTGATTTGGCCTGTGGGGGGTGAAGAGCG